GTTCCCTAATCTGCCATTTGCAAACAGTGTGAACCTGGGAAGTCACTTCATCTTTCTGGGTCTCAGTTTATAAAATTAAAGAGTTGATTTTTAGGGCCACTTTGAACTTGAAATCCATGATCCATAGGGACACAGATTATAAATGTCATGATTATATGACATATATTATTTTAAGGTACTTTGAGGATCCCAGGAATGGGGGTGTTGGAGATATGTCTGACACTATAACCTTACAAAGTACATCTAGCCCTAGAAGAGTATGATGCCAAAGGTCTGCTTGCAACATGGCTGCCTGCGATGATGTTTATCTCTGAAGTCTGGGCATGCCCCTCACCCCCACCACAATGCCCACCTATCTGTTAGGGAATCTGGTAGGAAATGTCTGTTATTTTATAGTGGGGAAAACACCAGATCATGGTTCTAGATGATAATTCAAAATCCACAGATTATTCTGATTCCAGATCTCTCTGTCTGAGCTTAAATGAATTCCTCTGAATGGTGGTGCTATCATATGTCAAACAAGGGTTAGAGCTAATGATCTTGTAAGGCTTCTTCTAGTGCTAACATTTAATATTCTAAGGTCCCTTCTAATATTCACATTCTGTGTTCTAGGGTCCCGGCTATTCCATGACTTAAGATTCCTTTCAGCTCTGGCATCTTTTGTTCTGAAGTATCTCCTAGCTTTGACATTCTATGTTTGAGGGCTTCCAGCCCAGATAATCTATGATCTAAGGTTTTAAGACCTTAAGTCTATGATTCCTAAGAACTGGTTTAAATATGTTTTGAACTTCTATTTTCAAGTCATACTAACTATATTTTGAAAAAAAGAAACTCTATACAATTAATCACATAACTTTCAGATTAACCTTAAAAAAAACTTCATCATGAAAAACAGAAAATTAACAAAAGTAAAAACCTTATAACTATTTCCTAGATAAACTTAACTGATATAAAAACAATCACTCTGATGAAGAGTCCAAAAAAGCTAAGAAAGTCATTTAATTGGGAAACGTTTAATTATACTCAGTGGAGAAACATGATAGCCAAGAGAAACTCTGCTTTAGAATGCAACCTCATTGGCAAAATATTATGAAAGAGAAAGACCAAAGACTATGAACAATATTATAATAAATTATCATAAATAAAAATAAATTAACAATATTATAATAAATCATAATAAATTTTGTCAAATAATAATAAATAATAATAAATAATTTGACTAATAATAAATTAGTCAAAGGGCCAGACTGAAGGGGAGGGAGGGATAGAATTTGGAACTCAAAACTTTTTAAAAAATATTTAAAAATTGTTTTCACAAGTAATTGGGAGAAAGTGTGTGTGTGTGTGTGTGTGTGTGTGTGTGTGTGTGTGTGTGTGTGTACTGAGTTAAAGTTTTAAAAAAATAAATATTATCTCATTTGGTCCTCCTCACAACCCTTCAAGTTTGGTGCAGTCATTATCTCCATTTCATAGTTTAGGAAACTGAGGCAAACTGAGGTTAAGTGACTTTCCCAAGGTCATACAGCTAGTAAGTTTCTGAGATGAGATTTGAACTCAGGTCTTCCTAACTCCAGACCCAACACTATATCCAATGTGCCACTTAGCTATCTAAATAATTTCATTTATACTTATATTGCCAGCACCAAGTATAGTGCCTGGAATCTAGTAGGTTCTGAATACATTCCTTTTTTAAATTTTTCTTTCTTTTTTTTTTTTTTTTTTGGTGAGGTAATGGGGGTTAAGTGACTTGCCCAAGGTCACACAGCTAATAAGTGTCAAGTGTCTGAGGCTGCATTTGAACTCAGGTCCTCCTGACTCCAAGGCTGGAGCTTTATCCACTGTGCCACCTAGCTGCCCCCTACTGAATAAGTTCTTGTTTATTTATTGATTAATATACCCTAGAGGCAATAGGGAGCCGTAAGACTGTGATAAGGTAGGAAATGACATTGGAGGCATTGTACTTAGTTAGACTATGCTTTAGGAATATCAGCCTTGCAGCTGTGTAGGGTATGGGTTAAAGAGAAGAGAGATGAGGGCAGTGATTGTCCAAGTAAGAGGAAATGAGGGCCCGAACCAGTGCAGCAGGAGCGTGAATTGAGACGAGAGACAGACGTCAGGGATGTTGTGGAGGTAAAAGTAAGAAGACTTGGCAAAGACCTGAATATAGGAGGAAAAGGAGAGGCAAAGATGGTAAATCCTTCTATAACAGAAATAGGAAGTTTGTGAAGGGAGGAAGGCTTGGGGGAATAGGAGTTCCTTTTAGGACCTATTTTGAACAAAATTCCTTAAGAATGAAAAAGATGAGCCTACTACCTGCCCTCTGCCTCCTCCCAACAGCGACCAAAAATCATCAGCAAGACCTAATATCCATTTTTTTTCTCACTTCTAAGTAATCTCTGGGCAAATCATCTGTGCATATTCTATTTTAATAGGCTCTTTGGTTTGAAAACAGAAGGGACAAAAGGGAAGGAAGGAAGGAAGGAGGAAGTGGAAAGGAAGAAAGAAAAAAGGAAGGAAGGAGAATGGAAGAAGGAAGGAAAAAAGGAAGAAAGAAAGGAGGAAGGGGAAAGGAAGAGGGGAAAAAAGGAAGGAAGGAGAAAGGAAGAAGGAAGAAAAAAAGAGGGAAGGAAGGAAGGAAAAAAGAAAGGAAGGAAAAATGTTCAATGCTCACTATACACCAAGCACTATGCTAAGTGCAGGAGATACAAAGACAAAAGCAAAGTAGTCCTTGCTCTCAGAGAGCTTACATTCTAGTAAGAGGAAACAACACATGTAGGGATGGGGTAGATGCTGAGTAGTGCCTTTGTTTGGAAAGTTACAAGGATGGTGAGTGGAACCAAAGGGTTCCTTAAAGAGCTGATCTGAATATGCATCCATAAAAGGAAATGGATGAGAGGTCTGCTTACAGCGGCAAGGGGGATGATGAGAAGATGGTGGGGGAGGGATGTCAGGTAAAGTTAACTAACCATTGACCAGAACAGCAGGACTCCAGGTCAGGCACGCTGGGGAGGGGAGGGTGAATGGCTCGAGTGCCCCAGGGCATGGTTTCTGGTTTGGAAAGCTGATAAGATGAGGGCCGAGGTGAGGGAGGTGAGGCTGACAGCCAGATGGAGCCTTAGGAGATAAGGATGTCAGACCTGGACATGGTGATCTGATCCAGCCCCCTCATTTTACACATGAAGAAACCAAGGCTAAAGCTTGTTGAGTGACTTGGCCTAGCCCAATGATGAGGACACAGAGAGGGCCCACCAGACCTTTCAGATTTGTTTTGCTGGGCCATGTCTTGACAGCCCCATCCCTGACTCCATCCTGCCCTTTGGTTGAGGGTTTCATTGATTATACCAAATCATTTTGCTCAGTAAAACAACACAGCCTCAAGTCTTGAGGAAAGTGACCCAGAAGGCCAGAGAATAAGGAGGGCCCAGGCTGGTGTCTAAGCATCCTGAATCATCTTGTCAGGTGAGGTGTGACTGAGTAAACTTTCAGAGATTCTTTCTCTGGCCTCACATGCGCCATGAGATATTGGCACTGCCAGAGCACAGGAACACTCAGTACTTGCTGAGACCACAAGGCCTTTCTGAGCATCTTGCCATTGCAACCAGGATCCCAGAGCACCAAACACTCTGACATCAGGAGGAGGATGGCCTAGTTTGGTCCTCTGCCTTTAAGCAGAATTCTTCCCAAACTGCTCCAGACAGATATCTAGAGTGCAGACAATTCAGCCTTCACATACAGCACTCCATCTCTGGTGTCTGGGCCTTTGCGTGGGTCGTCCCCAATGCCTGGTCTGCCCTACCTCCTCACTTCCTCCTCTGCCTCTTAAAATCCCTGGCTTCCGTCAGAAGTCAGTTCATTGGCCACCTTCTACGTAGGCCTTTCCTGATAACCCCAATGGCTGGTGCTCCCCCCAATTACCTTGGATTTATACACACACACACACACACACACACGTGTGTGTGTGAATATATACAGATATGGGAATACATATACAAGCATGTCTATTCATATCTGTTCATATATGTCGAGATGTAGGTTCTATGTATACATTCACTCTATAGAGAGATAGTTACACATATACGTGGAGGCAGCTAAGAGGCACCACAGCTGAAGTCAGGAAGACCTGAAGACCTTGAGTGAGAGATGACAGGGTCATTTATAATAATTAGCAAAATGACAAAGCGAAATCTGGAGCAATCTAGGTGTGTCTTCTTCATGACTGGCTATCTCTGCCACAGTGAGGATTGAGATGACATCATCTGGACCTCCTCTTCTGAAGCTCCGTTTACCGCTGCCAAGACATGTGGTTGAAGTCACAATGCAAAGCTTCTCAGGTGATGGGTTTAGTCTACAGACTATGGAAGTTTTTCCAATAATTTAAACTGATGAGATTTGACCTTTTAAGTTATTCAAGTTTGTCAGGATAGCGCATGCTGGGTGGGGTTACAAGGTTGTTTAGTCAACTTTCAGTCTTGTCCAACTCTTCTTGACCCCATTTAGGGTTTTCTTGGCAGAGTTACTGGAGTGGCTTGCCATTGGAAATCAAGGCAAACAGGGTTAAGTGACTTGCCCAAGGTCACACAGCGAGTAAGTGCCTGAGGCCATATTTGAATTCATGAAGATGAGTCTTCTTGATTCCAAGGTGATCTATACTTTTCACCACTTAGCTGCCCCAGGGTTACAAGACAAAAATTTAAACTTTAGGCAAGTTTCTCTGGGATGTGGGTGGCCATTGAAGTTTACAAGAGGAAGCAACCAGAAAAGGCAATATTAAAACTACCTTGAATCAAGTCTTAGCAAAAAAGAATAAAAATCTATTTCCAATTTTATACAGTCTAATAAGCATTTATCCCCAAAAGCCTCATTACCAGAAGGATCTTGATTCCAATGGCTGAGTTCTCATGGTTTGCTAAAGCAGCATGGTGACCACTCAATTCAAACACCATGATTGCATTGCTTTTTCTTGGATACGCACAAAACAAGTAAAAAAAAAAAAACAATACCTAGTCCTCCAGCATGGGCGTCAATCAATGATGCTGCCACAGCAATGCCTGCAGGGAGGCCTAGTTCCTTAGCAGCTTCTGGGGTGAGACCCTTGCCAAGAGGATCTCCAGGAGATAGCACTTGGGTTCCTGGACAGACAGACACAAGAGAAACCAAACCAAACAATAACAAAAAATAAAGATAAATTGTCATGATTTTTTTTTCTCAACAGTATTGCCCTCTCCCAAATTTATGTTGGATACAGAATTCTCCTCCTCCCCAGTCCTGAAAAATGTCCTTGGATTGAGGCCAAGAAGGAACCTTAGGAGGAATCTAGTGTCATCCCTTCACTCTAGAAATGAGAAAAAAGAGACCCCCACATGGGTCTTACTATCTTACAGATAGTAAGTGGCCAAGGCAGAATTAGACCTTCTTCAGCTATGAGAACTCCATTTGAGCTCTTCCCACTGCACCATGACGCCTCTCAGTTGATTGGTGAAGTCTAGTTGCTCACGCTAAAGACTTAGACGTGGGCCCCACCATATTGAACATCAAACTTCAGAATGTTTTTACAGGCACATAGGGCATCTCAAACAGATGGGAAGTTCTGTCCATGAGAAACTCGTAATATGCTTAATGCAACTCATCCAGTTATAAAAATTCTTTCTGAGACTGATGTTAAATAAATACTCCTTTAAACTCACACACACACAAACAATACTCTTCCTGTGGGGCCTATATTTGTAGTGATAGGGAGCTGGAGGAAGTCTACCTTTGGAATCGCTTCCTGCCAAAGGAAAGGGGGTCCAGTTATTTCCCCATTACACAATTATAAAAATAGAATGAATGAAAAAAGGGAATCTCTTAAACCCTCGGGCAAAGCAAGGCATAAGAACCCTTGGAATGTGTCAGGAATTTGGTCTAGGAGTTACTGTATCGAATGCTTTCCTATGTAGCCTGGACTATGTTGGGAATTGTTAAGACAAAGGCCCTACCCTTGGTGGTACAACCTTACTGGGGAGGAGAAATTTATATACGTGAAATAATATGACACAGGTTAGAACTCATTAATCAACATATTTCCACATACAAGAAGGTCTAAGTAAAGACTATTTATTTTCATCTCTCTCCCCTGAAATGAGTAGGTACTATATCAATATCTATTGAAGAAATATCAAAAAATTAAAAGGCAACATAGAGCTTTGATGTCTGTGAATAACAGGATCATATTTTTGGGCTAAAAGGGCTTTCAAAGATTTTGTATTCCAACCCTTTATTTTTACAAATCAGGGAACTTTGTACAGAGAGGTTGCCCAAGGTAAGCAGGTGGAACAGTGGATAAAGTATGGGGCCTGGAGTCCAGAAGATTTGAGTTCAAATGTGGTTTGAAATGCTCACTAGCTGTGTGACCCTGGACAAATCACTTAACCTCTGTCTGCCTCAGTTTCCTTAATCATAAAATGAGAATCATAATAGCACCTGCCTCCCGGGGTTGTTGTGAAGATTGAACGAGATAATATTTTTTAAAAGTGCTTAGCACAGTGTTTGGCACAAAGGAGGGACTTTAATAAATGTCTCTTCCTTTCCTCCTTGCCCACCCCTTTGCAAGGTCATATATTCAATAAGCTACAAAACTGAGAATAAAAGATTACCTCAATTAAGTCTCACCAAAATCTGGTGAGGTAGGGACTACTTACAGGTATTATTATCTCCGTTTTTACAGACCAGGAAACTGAGAATCAAAGAGATTAAATGCCTTTCCCTGGTTATAAGGCTAATAAGCATCAGAAGCAGGATTTGAATGAATGAATGAAAAGTATTTACTAAGCACTTATCATGTGCCAAGCACAAATACACATATACAAATACAAAAGCCTCAACAGTCCCTGCCCCCGAGTAGCTTATTTTCAAGTGGGACAAGAAACTATACCTGGGAAGCAGTGACCAGGAAAGGGAGGTAAGGCCTGGAAAGTCACAAGATGGTGAGAGAATGAAAGAGCAGTCCATTTACATGTCCTTTATGGAGGCAAAGTGGTGGCTATTTGGTTATAATTCTCAGATAAAGAGGTAGAAAGATGGAGTTGGGGAAGGATCAACAGGATGGGAAATTGTAGGTTCCTAAAGAATGTTATTTTTAGATGCTTAGCTCCTCCCAGAGATAAACTCCCAAGGTCAGGTGGTTGGAAAGGCCCAGCAGCATGGTGGAAGGCACTAAGACATTCAGGGTAGTTGATGACATCTGGTACGGTCCTAGCAAGAGCACTTGTTGGTGTAGGGCTGCTCTGCATGGTGAATCGATCTAGCATCTTGCCAACAGTCTTCAGGAAGTAAGAAAGGGACCACTTGTGGGACATAGTGTAGTGGCTTCTTATTCATATTGACTAGATGGCCACTGAAGGCTCTTCCAGATCTGACATTCCCAAGGGAAGGGAGGGAGGTAGAAAGGAAAGAAGGAAGGAAGGAAGGAAAGGAGAAATGAAGGAAGGAAGGGAGGGAGGGAGGAAGGAAGGAAAGAAAGAATGAAGAAAAGGGGGATGGATAAAGGAAAGAAGGAGGGAAAGAAGGAAGGAGGGGAGGGAAGAAGAAAGAGATGGAAAGAGTGAGAAAGGAAGAAAGGGAGGAAAGAAAGAAGGAAGGAAGGAAGGAGAAAGCATTTCTTAAGCATTTCCTATGTGCCAGGCACTATGCTACACACTAAGGATGCAGAAAATAGCCAGCAAGATTGTTCCCGTGGGCACAGATAACACCTTAAAGGGAACTAAAAGGGGGCCGAGGGAGGTGGAGGCCAATGACCAGAGTGAAGACAGCAAGGTTTGGAAGTGTCTGGGAGAAGGATGAGGGCGTTGTGCCAACTGAGATAAGGTGAAAGCTCACCTCTCAGGGCCCAGCATGGCAGGAGCAGAGTCTCGGTATTAGTGGAATGAAGACGAGAAGGACGATCGGGGTCAGAAGGCATGGTTTGCTTCAGTGACCTGAAGTTGTCCATCAGTCAAAGGGAATCTACTGGAACATACTATGTCCACTCCAGGCCAAGGCAATGTGATCCCCAGCCAAACCTGGGTGAAGTTGACTGATTGCTTTGTCTGGTATGGTGATGAGGTCACAGCTCCATCAGCCAGTAGGCTGGAGAGAGGCTCCCTTGCCTGGACCTGCCAGAAACTGAGTCGTGGGATCCTGAGGACTGGGCAGTTCTCTCTGCTTGTGTGCCAGGGTCTTGACTCTTGGAACACGGCTAAGCTGAGATCATCTGTCTGGAAGTTCACTTCAGTGATATAGATCCCAGTCCGTCCATGCCTGCCCATCTTGTGTCTTGTCATCCACATCTCCCCGTAAGTTCACCCCAGGAAAAATACCCAACATAGTAGAAGTCTTCATCTCATTTACTTGATGTCCCAAGAATACAAATTGAGACTTGGGCTATTCACTTGTCCTCTCTTATTCTTGCCCTGTAAACTCAATGCCACCAATCGCCTTATTTGTCTTTCTAAGAAACATCTTTGAAGGCACTGGAAATAGCCTTCTATCCTTGTCCTCCACAAGCTTAAATTCTCCTGGATTTACTCCATGGGAGCAAATCCCAAAATTGTTACCAAACAATGTGTCTGTTTTTTCTGGCTTTCTTCATATCCTAGTTAAGATCCCTCTTCTTCCAAAAGCCCTTTACAATCTCCCTTCATGTTAGTGTCTTCCCTCTGAGACTATTTCCAAGATATGTCTAGATCTTGTTTGTACACAGCTGTTTGCATGTTGTCTCTCCTATTAGATTTTAGGTCCTTGAAAGCAAGCGCACTGTCTTTATCTTGATATCCCCAGTACTTAGCACAGAGGCTCCCACATAGTCAGCATTTAACAAATGCTTGTTGGCTTGACTAGAAGACCATGTTCTTTTTTTTAAGTTATAATGGAACCAGACATTCCTGGACGTAGTGAATCCATGGACCTAGCAGAGACTAGGAAATTGTAGCCCACTGAATAGCCGAGGAGCAATGTGACATCCAATCAATCAATAAGTAAATTTTAAGTACCTACTATGTGCCAGGCATTTTCCCTGCCACTGGGGATAAAAAGTACAAAGAATGAAGCAATATCTACTTGCACTGGGCTTATACTCTAAAAAAGGAGTACAGAATAAATATAAATATACACATAATAGTTAAATACAAATTAGCTTGGGCAGACATTTGAAGTTGGGAGGACCAGGAAAGGATTCTTGTAGATGGCCGTGCTTGAGCTGTGACTTTAGGAGAGAGAGGGGATCTGAGGTATAGGCAAGGAGGGAGTGCATTCTAGGCTAAGGCTCAAGGAGGGCAAATGGAGTAGCATGTGGGAAGAGCAAGAGAAGGCCAAAGAGAAGGCCAGTTGGCCAAATTGCACTGTACAGCTCTTTTCTGTTTATGCTTCATTTATTTTCATTTTTATTGCCATCTTTCTTCTTTTCATCACCTTCATCTTAATTTCCTCCCATGCTCCCCTACCCAGAAGGCCATCCCCTGGAGCAAAGAATAGTATTTATATTTCTAATTGTCTTGTCCCAGGGGATTATTTCTGAGCCTGTGTGTTTTCTTCTTCTTTGGAAGTAAACCCCAGATATGTACCTGTCGTCTGGAGTGTGTAATGGTGGAAGATAGAATGGAAGCAGAGAACAGGAGCTAGAATCCTGGGGGCAGGAAAACAATTTGGGACTGGTCCATCAGCATGGGAAACCAGGCAGGCTCAGGGGCCAAGAAAGTACAGGAGGCTCCGGTCCTTGGGCTAGGACCCGGACATCAGGAAGGTTTGGAAATTAACAATTAAAGAAAGCCTGGGGGCCAAAGGCCAAGGTTCCTCAGATCAAGTAGATGGAATTTCCAGGGAGTTGACAGGAGATCACGGAGACCAGAGACTCAGGGACAGATGCCTCACAGGCTACAAGGATGCATCACACAAATGAACAAGAATTAACATGGAGAACAAATTATCATGGTTTACCGCAGTGAATACTGAATCTAGAGTCAGGGGACCAGAACCCTATCTGACTTGTTACCTGTGTGGTCAAGGGTGAACTAGTAGAACCTGCCAGTGTTACAGATGAGGAAACTGAGGCCCAGAAAGACACAGTTTGCCTAAGGTTATGCAGGAAGAAGCTAGGTTTGAACCCAGATCCTCTGAC